TCAATGCACGCAAGGCGAAGGCTGAGCGTAGCACCGGGTCACAGCGAGCATCTGTGGTTTTATGGATGAGGAAACGGAGTTCAAAGAGGTGAACTTTGGGCCAGGGGCCCAAGGCTTCAGTGGTGAGCTGGCGAACCAGGTCCCCAACCAGGGTGTCCTGATTTGTCCCGAATGAGGATTCCTGCCTGTAAATGCTCCTGCTGTGGCTGGTTTCAAACCACCAACGGTTACATCACCAGTTCGCTCAATTCCAGAATATTGAACAATTGAGTGCCGAGGACTCCAGCTGAGCTCAGTGGCACTGTGGGCGGTGGTGGAGCGTGTAGAGCCAAACGTGGAACATGGAGCATTTTGCAAACATTTGTTCTCGCGGACAGTCATCAAGTCAGCAATCAAGTCCCCTGAGCACCCTCCTGGCCCCCATCTTACCCAACAGGGGATCAAGGTTTGGAGAAACCTGGCTGCCTAACCCCCGGGGTACAGCAGAGGCCGGTCACTTACTGTCCCACCTCCTGTGCCCTGCCTGCTCTTGACAAGGCCACACAGACACCATCCTCCCATGCAGCCTTGGAGGGAATTTCCCAGGCCCCACGAGTAGGGGAGCCCTGCGCCCTCCCAGGTGGCTTGACAGGAGGGCTGGGGCTCCTGCCAAGGCACACCTGCCCAGTGCTCCTGAGCTTGGATCTGCCCCAGCTTGTTCTTGCCATCCAAGGGCCTGGGGAAGCACGTGAGTGGAGGGTCTTTATCCTTGAGGGTTTGGAGGACACAGGCGGAAGCTGCGAGTGGGGGAGGGTCAGAAACTTGGCCCAGGGGAGATTCTCAGTCCTGCAGGCAGGCTGGCTCAGTGCCAGGGAGGGGTTCAGGTGAGCCAGACTGCCTGGGGCTGGGCACAGATGCCCTTTCAAACAGAGCAGGGGCCAAAATTTTTATGGTTTTTTGTTCCAGTTGTCCCTGGACGGAGCTGGGGGTCACTTGCCTGTGGCGGCTGAGCTGGGGTTGCTTCTGCATGCTTCCAAAGAGCCCTGTGGCTGAAGGGACTAGGATCGGGTTCTCCCCCCATCTCAGGGGGAGGGGAGAGACTTCTGAGTGGCAGGTAAGGAATTGCTGAGTCCCATGTGTGCTAATGGGACAGGATCCTGAGGTCTCTGGGGAAGGGGGCTGCTCTCCACCATGCACTCTGGGGAAATGGGAGAAATGACTCGCCCTTGAAGCGAGGAAACTGGGAGGGGACCCCTGCTGGCTGGTCTTGGTGGGGAGGAGGGTGTTGGTAGCACAGGGAGAGGGAGGGTCAGGTGAGAAAGGGGGTTGGGGCAGGATGAGGGACAACTTCCCCAAAGCTGGTTTGACAATGGAGCTAAGAAACCAAAGTTGCAGGTGGTCCAAGTGGGGCTGTGGCTGGAGATGGGGCAGGGCAGGGCAGGGCACCACACCCACCCAGGACATCCTGAGAGCCTGGCCCCCATCCTGCAGTTCTAGGGAGGGAGAGGCAGCTGAGTCTGGCCTGGGCGGGGAGGTAGGGGGCTCAGTGGGAGGAAGTGGGCTGGGAGGTGACAGCTGCCCACTTTGTCCTATGTCCCCCCTCCCATGCGGCTCCCATGTGGCTCCATTCACAGGGTCATTCACTGATCCCTTGCTGAATGAGAAGGGTGGGCCACCCTCTCCCTAGCTCAAGTGCTTAAGCCCATTCTGGGTTGCTGGGTGAGCGCAGCAAGCCTCTGGCCCTTCCTGAGCCTCCCCTGACCTTCTCAGGAAAACAACACCTACCTCTTGGGGGTGCTAGGAGGGTTAAAGACCAGGGAGTAGATAAGAAGGACCCAGAGGCAGCAATGTCAGCTTCTAGGCACATGACAGTGTCGGCTTCTTGGGGTGGGCTTGGGCGGATGGCTCCCTCTGTTTTCCCCCATTGTGTGTCCCCAGCTGGACCTCAACGGGACCAACGTGGAGTTGGGATCCAGAAGGAGCTAACCCTCTCTCCACCAGGGAAGGGAGCTTTTAGTCTTGACTCTGGGCTCCCCTCTCTTCTGACTCTGAAAGGCTCTGTGCCCCCAACAGGCCTGCAGGCCCCTTGGAGCAGGAGATAGAGAGGGACTTTCCTCTGTGTCACAGGGACTCAGTTTGGCTTTCTGGGAAGACAGAGAAATAGTACATTCCTCCAGAAATAATTGTCCTCAAGCTATTTCCAGCAGCTCTTTAGTGCCCAGGCCAGAAATGGCTAGTGATCTCGATGCCTGGGTACTGTCAGGACAAACAGCCCAGAAGCCCAGCCCTCTCGCTGGCTGCCCGCCTGCCCAACCGGTCCCCAGCCCTGAGCTGAACCGGGCCTGGCTCAGGCCCCGTCTGTCCGTGGACTGTGGACACCGTCTCCCTGTTCTTACCCCAAGTTGCTCTTCCTCCACTTGGGGATGCCCCTCAGATTCCTCCTGCTGTTCTCTCTTTGGCCACCGTAACTCAGCCGGCCCAGGGCTAAAGGCCTTTTCCTTCAGTGACTCTGCGCTGATGCCATCCTGCCCGGGGCGGGGAGATCCTATACTAAGTGCTTTGTAATCCTGAATCTGGTCCATAAGAAAGATCATGGGCTGGGGCTGGGGCTCAGCGGTAGAGCGCTCGCCTGGCTCGTGTGAGGCCCTGGGTTCGATCCTCAGCACCACATAAAGATAAAGAAAATAAAGGTATCGTGTCCGACTACAACTAAGAAAGAAAGAAAGAAATATGAGATAGGCCGTGTGCGGTGGCACACACCTGTAATCCCAGTGGCTTAGGAGGCAGAGGCAGGAGGATTGCGAGTTCAAAGCCAGCCTCAGCAATTTCGCGAGGCGCTAAGCAACTCAGTGAGAACCTGTCTCTAAATAAAATACACACACACACACACACACACACACACA